CGAAAAAAAAATATGTTTTGTTGACCAAAAAAGAACAATAATGAGGACCACAAAACCAAATGTAAGAGGAAAAAGATAGGAAAGAAAGAAAATGAAACTCTACAGCTTATTTGGATCAAACAAATCCAACATTAATTTCATGGCTTCTAAAAATCTTATTCACCCGTCCTTGCAGTAATAGTTCAGTAGTGAGAGTTAGTAGTATATGAGCACCATGACGAAGGTTTGAATTTAGCAAATTTTAACATTGCCCAACCCCAAAAGAAAAATATACTTTTATTGGAAATTAGAATATGTAAGCAAAACTTAAGGCTTCGGATGTAGGTCCTATGTTGTGTGCGGTATGAAAAGAAACGAAAAAAGGACTTTAGTAGATCTCTCTGCCATCTTTATTCCCTCGTAATTAACAAATATTTAACAAAGTAGTATGCCACATGAGAACTTTAATGATGTAGTTAAAGTTAACGTTATACATATTTTTAAATATGTAAAAAGAATTTCTTTTATTATAATTATTGTTATTTAATATTTTTAAGAAGTTTACATTCAATAACGAACAATTTAGGTAATGAATAGTTTTAATTTAACGATTGTACAGATAACAATCATATATTATGCAAATTTATTAATTGAATTGTTTTATGAATATTAAATTTTATAGATTTAAATAGATCCCTCTGTATATTAACATGTGGCAAACGTTTTTAGGAACACTTTTAAATAACATTTTGTAAAATAAATAGTTCTATAAGTTTCTGACGATTTGGAAATTAAATTAATTTATCACTAAATCATATAATAATTTGTGACAGTAACGTGTAATAAATTTTAAATATCATTTTTTACAAAAATGTGAAATTAATCTAATAATAAATATATATTTATATTTTAAACAACATATTATTTGTTAACATAATTTTCACTATGTTTTTTTAATAGTTCTCGATCATGTATAATGTGTAAGAATGTATTACTGGAAGCTATTTTTATTTGGAAAAATAAATCTCAAACATATATTATATAAAAATTATCGATATTAAATTTTATTTTATTTTATATATTTAAAGGGGTTAAAAAGTCCAACCAAGATTAAGGCTTCAATCTAGAAAATCAAACATCTAAAGAACATACAAAGAAATGGGAGGAGGAAAGGAGGAGAATTAACAATACAAAAGGAAATAAAAAAATCCTCTAAAAACTAATTTTGCAAAGTGATCAGCACTTTGATTGGCTTCTCTATACACATGCTCAAATCTAATAAATTAAATTTGTTTAATAACATTCCTAATCCTACTGAGCATGACAAAAAGTGAATGGATAAAACTTTACACGGACTAGGGATAAAGCTTCTCTAGAATTATTTTCAATTTAGATAATTTTCAACCCTTGCTAAATAGTAAGCTCTAAACAGACTAGGGATAAAGCTTCTTTAGAATTATTTTCAGCGGAATGCAGGAAAATATTAATATTACAAAAGCCAACTAAAAAGTGACCTTGAGCATTTCGAATTAATCCCTCACAAGCAGCCATTCCATGAACTAGAGAAGCAGTTCCATCATCATTGAGCTTCCATTGGTTTATAGGAGGAGGCATCCACTTGAGAAGAATTTTATCAGTCACCAACCTAGAAAAGGAGTTAATCAAATTCCAGTAGCTATTAGATTGAAATTGGAAGTTAGATAAAATTTTTTGAATAAGAATCATGGGCTGAGTAGAAGCATAATTAAATATAAAATTATTTCTTTCTTTCTAAATATACCAACAATAATCCCATATAAGCTACCCCATTGAGGATAAAATTTAGAATTCTGTTTAGACAAATTAAAAGTTTACCAATCAGCTAAACTTTTGCTAAAAAAAGAAACCCAATTTTGAGAAAAAACAAAATGATCCAAATATCCTTAGCAAAGGGGGAGTCTCTAAGAACATGTACAATAGATTCCTCATCATTACCACATTTATTGCAAAGGAGAGAATTAGTTATACCTCAAATATACCTTAAGGTTGGTTATCAACTTATTGTGAGCAACTTTATGGAGAAACAATCTAATTTTAGGGATATTGTTCTACTTCCACATAGAATCAAATAAATTATGACAACCAATATGAGAATCATTTGTATATAACATTAAAGAGTAAGCTAATTTAACAATAAACATACCATTATTTGTTAAACTCCAAAAAATAAAATCAAGACTCCTAGAAAGGAAAGGAGGATCAATATTGATAATAATATTACTAACCTATTTAGGAGTAAATCAACCAATTTATCCACATTCCAAACACCATTATCAATAAACAAGGCCATAGGGATATCCAACTCCAAATTAGATATATGATTAGTAGCATGTTTAATCAATTGACCAATATTAGGATACTAGTTATCATACCAAAATTTAGTATTTATTGCATCACCAATTACCTAGTTAATACCCTGAAAAAATTGGGGTCAAACCAAGGAAATGCTATTCCAAAGGTAAGAGATATTATTCCTTTTCTGATTCATGGAATTTGCCCAATAGTAAACTTGTACTTATTGTGGAGAACTTGAGCCCATAGGAGAGAGGAGAAGGTATATAACCTCCACCAAAGCTTTATAAGATAACTTTTGTTTAGTAAACATAGGTCTTTGAAACCTAAGCCCCACGTTGATTTAGGTTTGAAGATTGTTGGCTATCCTATGAGGTGACATTTTAACTTCCTAAGGATCTCTAAGTGAATTATTTGCATAAACTATTGATTTTATGGCAAATAGAAGAAGGGATTAATTGAAACTACATAACATAGTTAGGAATACTCATAAGACTTGTTTGAGTAAGAGTTATCGTACCAGCATAAGATAAGGAATTCATTTTCTAAAGAATTTTTTTTTCTAATTTTATCTATTTATATTAGAATTCTAAGATAATTAATTTTTTTAAAAGTCGCGTAATGTATATATATATATATATATATATATATATATATATATATATATATATATATATATATATATATATATATATATATATATATATATGCACCCTTCTTATAAAATGTAATTATTTAAATTTACTTTTTTAAAATTATTTTCATAAGTTATGAGATAATAGTAATAATAATAATAAATTATCTATAGATTATTATTAAATATGTTAAATAATGTAATAAATATGTTAATCTAGTAATTATAACTTAAAAAATAAGTATAATTTAGTGGTTGACAATGTCTCTATTATCTTTGAACACTTAAATATTTTTAAGCTGATTGAAGGCTGACTTCAATTAATTTGGAGTTCAAATCATTGTTAAAAAAATATTTTTTAAACTTAAAGGCAGCACTTAACGCGTGTTGCTTATACTTTTGAAAATAATTAAATAAATGTTGCCTGTACTTTTTAATTACACTTATAAATATGCTGTCTTGAGAAAACACCGTTGTTGTAAAAGGCGTAAAGAACTATTGCCTAATTTGATACTTGAGACAATGATCTTCTTAACTTTTAGGTTTTTTTAATTATTGTAGATAAAAGAATGTTATCGTGATATACTAATAATAATATTAATAATATTAATATAGATAATAATAATAGCTATTATCATACTCTATTTAGAGAACTGATTGTTCATTACATTATTTAACAATATTTATGATTTTAGTGATAAAATAATATTTCACTTTTCAGTTTTTACGATAACAAAATTATTTAAATTGTATTTATAATGTAAAACATATTTTTTTTATATCTAGTTTTACTAATATGGTTGAAATTTTTATTTAATACTATTGAAATATGTTTTATCTTTTAATTTTGGTAGCAGTAATGTATTATGATTAATTAATTAATTATATACTATTTTTTACTGTGATTTCAATTGTTTAATTATTATAGTAAAACATTAATATTATTTTATATATTTTACCGTTTAATTGATAGTTGTATAATACTGTCTTATTACTATCACAACTTTATACTATAACTATATTATTCTATTTCAATTTTTTATTTTTATAAATATAGAGTATAGTTTTGAGAATCAAATATTATAATATTATTTTAAAAAGGAAAATAAAATATTTGATCATATTTTGAATTTTATTGATTTTATTTTATTTTGAAAATAAAATATTTTTTCTAAAATTATTTCTATTTATAAAATATTATTAATATAATCTTTATATTATAGTTTTTAATTTAAAAAAAAGCCAAGAGTTAATTTTATTCAACTAATGTGAGAATTTTTTATTAATATTACAGAATTTAGAAAAACTATTTATGAAAAGAAAAAGTAAAAATTATGCTCATGGATGAAGTGGATAAGTATTTATTTTATGATTATTTTTTTGTGGTGAAGGCTTCAAAATCTTATAAAATGAAAATATACGGTAGCAATCACCAATTATTTATGGTGTAAAAACAAACTAACTTACACTGAATCACTGATGCCTACACGCGCACGCACATCGTTTTGTTTTTCTAATTTGTTTGGACAATAAGAAATAAATTGAAAAAACTTCTCACTTAAAAGAATATTTGCAATAATGGCAGTGAATTGTGATAGTGACGAACTTTACGGGCTCGAATATCGTACAGAAAAAATCTCTTAGATTAAGGTATTATGTGGAAATTGAAGAAAAGTTTATATCTTTGAACATACTCAAACTCCATATTCGGAAATAGGATTAAGCTGGGCACTACTGTCGCATAAAACAATCTCCTTATTACTATTGTTTTTTTTATATTAAAAAGAAATCCTCTGACAAAGGCATCAATGCTCTGCGTAGCGGTCCTACTAAATTTGGCTGCTCGTGGTGACGAAGCTTCTTGTGAAGTTCTATAAGGCCCCTTAGATTCTGTTTTAAGAGACCTTTTAAATAGACTCTGTACGTAACGGATGTATCCCACCCAAAATAAAAATGCAAAATTTGCTGGTGGGGGCGTAACGCAGGTATGATGTCAGGTTTTTGCATATATAAATAGATAAATTCTAGTAAGGTGCTAATAGGTTGTCGTGATTATTTTCCTACAATAATGGTATATGTGATAAACATTCTATTCATCCATTTTCTCTAAACACTGAAACATTCTTAATCACTATGTCTGTCGACCCTCAAAGCCACCAAACTCTTGACTTGTACTGCAGTGAAGCAACTAGCGATGTGATTCACTTGGATTCCGACGAGGCTTTGAATTTGAATTTGAATACTCTATCGGGTGATTCTGATTGTGATGAAAGCTGTCTATTGAGCTTATTAGAATCCGAACATGATCAGGTACAAGAACAAACAAAGTCACTAGGACAACTTCGGAATAAAACATGGTTGATTAATGCCAGACAAGAGGCCATAAATTGGATCCTAAAGGTGCATTGCTTAATTGCTTCCTATGTACAAAGCACTCAAACTCAAACATGGTTTTCCATTCTAATCATTTTCTGATATTTTTCTCATTGTGCAGGTGCATGCATACTACAATTTCAGACCCGAGACAGCATATCTTTCTGTAAATTATCTCGATCGTTTCCTTTTGTCACACACCTTGATGGTATCTCTCAATTTTCATTGGTTTGTTTGGTGAAAAATATACAAATAGGATGTGATTTTTGTTCACTTGTTAATGGCAAATGGCATGCTTGCAGCAAGACAAAGCGTGGCCTATTCAGCTGCTGTCCGTTGCTTGTCTTGCATTGGCAGCAAAAATGGAAGAAACAAAGGTGCCACTTCTTTTGGACCTTCAGGTGATCGAGTCCAGGTTCCTATTTAAGCCCAAAACGGTTCAGAGGATGGAGCTTTTGGTCATGGCCAGTCTCAAGTGGCGATTGCGCGCTGTAACCCCTTTTGATTTTGTCCATCTTTTCATTGCCAAGCTTGAATTCTCTGTTTCCACATTGGGAGATTTAAGTTATATAGTTTCTCGCGTCTCAGATGTTATCATCAGAACATGTCAAGGTATTAAAAACTTATTCGCCTCTGTGTATTCACTTGCAATTTCTTAATGGTTGCTAAGTGCTAACGGGAATGAACAATTCACCAGTCATGGATTTCTTAGAGTTTTCACCGTCCACAATAGCAGCATCTGCATTGTTATGGGTGACCAATCAGTATGTTGATGACCAAAAATCATGCTGCTTCCACAAGAATATAAGCATTGTAAGTGTCAATCACTTTGTAGTAAGTGACCAAAAAGTGATATAGGACTTTGATGATTGATTAGTGTAGTTCTCTAATTTTTCAGAATTTTAATTTTTCTGTATTTAATCTTGAATGTAGGAGATGGTGCAGAAATGTTACAACTTAATGAAGCAGAAGCAGATCATTCGCCGATTAGAACTTTTTGGGCCAAAGACTTCACATTTATTGCCCCTAAGTCCTACTTGTGTGCTTGATCATGCAGCTATGCAAGAAAGCCGCCATACTCACAAGCCATGACTTCAAGCCTTGTGATGTGTGTCATTAGCTAAGGAAGCTATACCGTTGCTTTCAATTTGTCTATTCCTGATTCATTATGATTCCTTTGATTTGGTGTGATTGTGTGCATCTTCAATAAGTTTAATCATGGAACACGTGACTTTGATCGTGTGCGCATTTTCAATAAGTTTCATTATGGAAAACTCTGATTGTAAACTAAAGTTATAGTGGAAAATTCTATGACGTGATTGATTTTCCTTTTTGAAATAGCAAGGCGTGCCGTTCTACTGTGTGTGAATTCTATTTTAATTTTTTCCCAAGTAAATATTTTTCCTCCTTTGTGATTAGCTCGCTTCCAAATTGCGGAGTTAACTCACTGCAAAGTCTAGTTTCTTAAGGAAGTAGGATTATAATCATTTGACGTTCCTTAGGGTGAAACATCCCAAGTGGTAATATAGAGAGAAAAGAAGGAAGAAAATGATAAATGTGATGGATAATATAATGAAAAAACGAAAGAGAAATAGATAGGAGTATAAGATGAGTATAAAAATTAGTGTTGAAAAAGGAAAAGGTTGTACAATAATTGAATGGCGTCAAATTTATCTTGTCAAATATAATATAATGAAGGCGAATTAAACTGTCTAATGTACTGTAAATACCTATAAAAGAAGGTACCACGACCTCTAAAACAAATTACACAACTTAGGGTTGAATTCAAATCTTGTACAAAGTACAATTTGTGGTAGACAAACTAGATTACAAATTAAGTGTATATACAAGCAAAATGGGCATATTATAGGTTACAGAATCATATTAATTTGTGGAACAGACAATAAGCGGTACTCCTAAACATTGTCTAATCCACGTTTCCACGTGTTATGGACTAATCCATAGATTTAGCGTTTACAACGAATTAAGCATGTTGAAACGAGGTTTATCCATAGATGAATTGATTAAGCTTAATCAAAGGGATTTGACAGATCCAAATCTAAATTAAACAGTACTGAATGATAGACAATAACATCCAAATCTCATTTAAACTTGTGGTTCATGAGTTCATCTCAAAATAAACCAAGTGAAAATCCGCATTTAAGTGCACTGAGTTTGTCGTTGTCTACCAACCACGATCAGAAACAAGCAAAACACTGAGTTTAAAGCCACTTTTTTGATGTGACTAGCATGTATTATTGTGTTAATGTAACCATTGAGAAGGTGTGTATGGGGAGTTATATAGCATCCACTGGGTGGTTGTGGTAGCTACAAATAAGAGATTAAAACAAAATCAAGAGCCTTTATGCACATAAGATATGAACAAGCGAACAAGAAAGATCAGAGTTGGTTGCAATTGGCCAACTAGTAAGGACAAGGGACACGCTCCCACATACTTGAACAAGGCTTTTATTAATCTTTTTAATGTTCGTACGATTGCAATTCAACGACAAACATGGCCTAGTTTAAGTTATTGCTGATAAAGAATGATTTAAAAGACGAAGTTTCTCGTGCCTATTGCCCCTGTCTGACGATCATGATTCATGACTAATTAGTCAATGTAACACTGCAATCAATTGTCTCATCTAAACTCCTGCAGCACCTTCCTCCCTAATAAAGGCACTGCTATAGTTGAAGAAACAGAACCTGATTAATGAAAAGAGAGTTTAAGTATGTTCTTTAAATATCTATTTGGACCTATCACACCAATATTTATCTAAATCCTATAAAAAAAAATGTTATAAATTTAGTTAGTTTTTAGAGTTGGAATTCTTTTAATCTATTCCGTTGTCTAATGTCGTTATAACTGGGATTCATACCGAGTTATTATAAAATATAAAAATTAAGTTAAAAATAATTGTCACATCTATAGATATTAGATTATAAATATATGATAATTCTATTCTCCATATATATATATATATATATATATTTATTTATTTATTTATTTATATGACAGCTAACTAATTGACTGTCATATAAATATATGATTTTAAATTATTTTTATATTTTATTATCTATTGTTTAGCATGAATAAATAGTTGCACTTGCACGTAGAATTAATTAAAAATAAAAAAATAAATTAAAAAAAAATTGAATCTTTAAAAAGCATTATCTGAGAGATCAAAAATTCATAAATAAGAGAGTTCTTTATTTTAGTTTTTATTCTTTTTTTATTAATAAAGATTCATTTTAGTATTGATTATCTTTTTTACAGTTATATTTTTATGTAAAATACAATTTTATCATAATAAATTGGTATCATAGTTATGACATTGGACAGAAATAACTTTAACTTGTGGCAAGTGAAGATATTCATTCTTTTCATGCAACAAAAATGTAAGTTGAAGTTGGAAGAAAAACAAAGTTGTCAATCGAGCTTACATCTACACAGAAAAAAAGGATAATAAAAAGATACACAGTATAATTTTGGTATTGCAAAATGATGAAATTTTAAGAAAACTCTTTAGAGAAAAGATTGTCAACAAGCTCCAAAGCTTGAAAGTTGATACATGACAAAGTATTTTCATAGTCGTTTCTCTTTGAAAAAATAATTTTATACTATGCAAATGCATGAATGTGAGCTCATTCATAAATATATTAATAATTTTAACCAAAGTATTCTTAGTTTGAAAAATATTTATGTTGTAGTGGATTGATGAGAACCAAATTAATCTTATCTTAATTCTTTATCAAAAGCTTATGAAAACTTTATAGATACAATATTTTTGATAGAAATTGACTATCCATGGAGAAAGTAAAAATAGTCTTACAATCTCGTGAATTAAAAAGGCAAATTACTGATTCATATGGTAGTACTAACTCGCTCACATGAAGGTTTAATGGTATGAGGAAGAGTGTAGGAAAGAAAGAAAAACTCTTAAAAAAAGGTTGTTAAAGTCACACAATAGAAATAAAAATAATAACTATAATCTTTATTAGTCTCTAAAATTATTATCAATTAAAAATTTTAATCTTTATTTCTTAAAATCTTTTATCCGTTAATATTTCTTCTTCTACATTCTTACCATGACTAGAAACTATCATTGACGATCACTTTCGACATTTACATTGTTCGTTGACACTTTTTCAAACTTTTCCATGAAAGAGTTTGTTTTCACAACAAAAACTTGTAATAGTTTTAACTAATTTATTTAAAAATTTTAATTTACAATCATGAAAATTAATATTACTTTAAATTTTATAAATTGTTCCCACAATGACATTAATATTATTTTATTGTTCATATAATTGTTATTTTTTTATAATATAAATATTATTTGTATTAAACTTTCATATCTCTTTAAACCTTTTCAACTCACTTTTTATAATATAAGAGAATATTTTCACCTTCCGATTCTTTTAAGGTCACAACTGTTTCACCAAATTTTGAAATATTAGCTTTATCTTTCTCAAGCTTTAGACTATTTCTCTTCCAATATCATTTTTTTTTAACAATTATAACATCTACAAATGATATTTATATTATAAAAAATATAACAATTATATGAACAATATAATAATATTAATGTTATTGAGGGAACAATTTATAAAATTTAAAATAATATTAATTTTCATGATTACAAATTAAAATTTTTAAATAAATTATGACAAACTAGATTATAAGTTTTTGCTGTGAAAACAAACTCTTTTATAAAGAACTTTGGAAAAGTGTCAATGAATAATGCAAATGCCAAAAGTGATCATCAATGATTTTTAGCAATGGTAAGAATGTAGAAAAAAAAATATTAACAGATAAAAGATTTTAAAAAATAAAAATAAAAATTTCTAATTAATGATAATTTTAGAAATATATATATATATATATATATATATATATATATATATATATCATACTCTATACAATATAATTTTTATCATATAATCAATCATATATGTTATTTAATGTGACACGTCTATATTTTATTATTATACGTTGATGGTATTTAATTTAAAAGACTAAAATGATGAATGGAGAGAAAAGTCAAAGATTTATGTGACATTTTAAAAAATTTTAAGACTAAAATATCTTTCATTTATTATTTTATTGACTAAAATGAAGGTTTAGTTAATATATATTATGATAGCATGAAAAAAAAAATACAACAATTAAAAGAGGAGTTAAATATTTAATTATTATGTATGATGGTATTGAAAAATTTAAGAGTAAATAAAGTAGTATTAAATTTAATAACTACTTGAAATTAAGATTAATTAATTAAATTTTATTATAAAAATTGAAAATTTAAATAAGACACAATTGAAAAATATTTAAAAAATTAATATGATTGATCATCATTATGTAAAAATATCAAAATTATAAGAATAATTAAATGATTAATAATTATTAATGGTATTGTGGGAATAATTAAAATATTTAGAGTAATATAAATATTACTAATTAAATTGCTAAGATTTAAATTAATTAACTAAAACTGTTGTCCCTTAAACAATCAAATATATATTATGTTAAACACAGATATACACATTAATTAAAGGAAGAATTAAATAATTGAATTATCATAAATGAGAATATGTAAAAAAAATTAGAGTAAATAAAGTAGAATTAATATTAACACGACTTAAAAAGGGGATTAATTAATTAATATGAAACTCTTAAAATCGTTAAAATTAAAAAATTTATATATAAAAAAATGTAACGCTTTCCGCTTTGAACTGTGTATATAACCACTAACATGCACACACAACGTAAAATATATTTTATCCACGAAATTTCTCCAAATATATCTATAAATTAAGAAAAATACAAGCGTAGGCTTAGGAGTGTTACGAAAAAAATATAAAATTTAAATAAGAAATAATTGAAAAAAATATTTAAAAGGATATATGCAAATTTAATATGGTTGATAATACTATTATCAAAAGTGTAAAATTAGAAGAATATTTATTAATTATTAATGGTATTATGAATATAAAATGGAATGCTTAAATTAATAATAAATTTCAAAAACTAATTAATTAAAACTATAGCAAAGTTAGACTGATAGAAAGGGAATCAAATAATTAATTAATATAAATAATATTGTGAAAAAAACTAAGAGTAGTTAAAGTATACTTTTTTTTGGTGTGCACTTAATAACATGTTAAAAAATATTAATTATATTTTATTTAATATTTTAAATTATTATAAACGGTATTTAATTGATTTTTTTATGATTTTAAGATAATAGCTGTTATGCTAATATGAAAAAACATAAAAAAAAAAAAACCTAAGTATTGTAGATAATAACGTAAGAAAATTAAGTGCAGCTAAAGTAATTATTTTTTTGCTATTTCAGTTAAAGTAATGTTAATTTAAAGAACTACTTAAAAGAGTTTTTTTTAAAACAAAAGAGTGATTAATTAGTTAATATTAATAGTAATGATAAAAGTTTTAAAATATTTGAAGCTATATTCCCTTTTTAGTGTTAAAAATTGAAAATTTTAAAAAGGAACAGTTTGATAATGTTTAAAAGAATATGCAAATTGAATATAATCATATAGCAATCATTATATGAAGAATCTTAACAGTTAGAAGAAAAATTAAAATTAATTATGAATAATGTATTATGTGAATTTAGATTATTTAAGTTTGGGTGAGATTTACTTAAGGAGTAATGTTTGTAAACTTTATTTATTTAATAAATACTAAATTTTATGATCAGTCACTTATAACCAACTTACATTTCATATATTTTTATTTCTCTATTTAATTTTTTATTACATATTTTTAACATATAATTTTTCACAAATTATAAAACTCATTCATCTGAATTTATACATAATGATCAATTTCAAGTTCTTAATTAATAATAAATATAATTTATTCAATTACTTTATTGCTTAAAAACTAATAAATTTTAAAATGCTTTGTTAGTATTCTTTTATTGTATTAGATTACAATATTTAATATTAGAGGTAGTGTCCTTTTAAATATAATAGCATACAATATTATAAATATATAATTAGTTTCTCAATAAAATATTATTAAATTACTATATAGTTTTATTTAATTATTTTTACATTCAATTATATATAATAATATTTTTTAACGTGTACTTGAGATAATAATAAATTTTATATTTAATATTTTTTATTAAAATTATAAAATATAGCTAAATTCAATGTTAAATAGATAAAAATATTAATGGCAAACAAACACTGACACCTCATTTCTACTCAATATTAAGATAATCGAAGTCAAATAATTCACTGTTACGTCAGTCATATATTTTTCGACTCTTGCCGTGCACAAAGCTTCCACACTTGGCTCAACAATGGCAAACACAGTAATGAACCGGCTTTTGCAGTTATGACCATATAACACTCACCGTGGTCAACTGCCATGAAGCATTAATTTGACTTTTGGTCCTTAAAAACAGTCTTTTCAATCTGAAACCAACGCAAACACAATGACAAAGCGAAAGAGAGCATCCTCAAATCAAAACCCCAACGATGTTTGTGGCTTTTCCACTCTTGCCGGAACCTTCTTCATTCTCTTCCTGCTCTGCCTCTGCCTTTTATGCTCCACCAGGAACCAACTCGCTCAATACCTCCTGGGCCCCACCACAATCCACCCCAACACGACAACCTCCAAGGTTGTCGTCGACCCTCCCGACGAAACCTTCTACGACGACCCACAACTGAGTTATTCCATCGAAAAACCCCTCGAGCAATGGGACGAGAAACGAAGCGAGTGGTTGCGCCTTCACCCTACCTTCGCCGCTGGAGCGCGTGACCGGATTCTCCTCGTCACGGGGTCGCAACCGTCGCCATGCAAAAACCGCATCGGCGATCACTTGCTACTGAGATGTTTCAAGAACAAGGTCGATTACTGCAGGATCCACGGCTGCGAGGTCTACTATAACAACCTGCACCTGCAGCCCAAGATGGACTCTTATTGGGCCAAACTTCCGGTGATCCGGTCCACAATGATGGCCCACCCGGAAATTGAGTGGATCTGGTGGATGGACTCCGACGCTGTGTTCACCGACATGGAGTTCACGGTTCCTTTGGAACGTTACAAGGACCACAACCTGGTGGTCCACGGTTGGGCTAACATGGTGTACAGTGACAACGAGAACAAGAGCTGGACTGGGCTTAACACGGGGGCTATGCTGATTAGGAACTGCCAATGGTCCATGGAGTTGTTGGACGTGTGGTCCAAAATGGGCCCATCAAGTCCGGACTATGAGAAATGGGGAAGGGTGTTGAAATCCATGTTCAAGGACATAGTTTTCCCGCTCCCAAATGACCAATCGTCACTAATTTATTTGCTTTATAAGGAAAGAAGAAAATGGGGTGACAAGACGTACTTGGAAGAAGACTATTACTTGGAGAGTTATTGGATAGGCATGTTGGGGAGGTTTGAGGCTGTGAATGATGGGTATGAAAAGATAGAGGAGGAAGTGAGGGGTTTGGGGAGAAGGCACGCGGAGAAGGTGAGTTTGTGGTACAGTGAGTTGAGGGAAGGTTACCTTAAAAAGATAGGGTGGGTGCCCTTGAGCAAAGGGAGGAGACCCTTTGTGACACACTTCACTGGGTGCCAACCTTGTAATGGGGAACATAACCCTGATTATGATGGCAACACTTGCTGGAAGGAGATGGAGAGGGCTTTGAATTTTGCGGATAATCAGGTGCTTCGTAACTATGGTTTTATGAGGAAGGATTTGTTGTCCTCGTCTGTGTTTCAAGTCCCGTTTGACTTCCCGCGGTATGATGGGCATTTGTTGTCTTGAACTAGGATTAGCAAGTGAAACGGGATAGGTTCATTTGTAGATCTCCTCCAATTAATACAAACTTGTTCAGGACAGTTTCTGGTCTTCTATATATGTATGATAAAGAATCAAATACTAATTAAGATGACGATGCTTTGAAGTAAATTGTGAAAATTTAAGAAGCACATGAAGGCATTCATAAATGGAGATCGGAGAGTGAGTTACTTTTCTTTTTAGGGCGAAGATAACTTTTTTTTTTTCCTAATTGTTATTTTTAACATTGTTTCAAATCTCTTCAAATATGCAAGTAATACATTTGTCGGAAAATAATGATTTAAAAAAAAAACCAATTACGGGTACAAAACAGCCTCTTGTGCTTCCTACAAGTGGTATTGACATTGTCTTTAAGTTGGTATGTAAAGGTATATTTATTAATAATATACCTCAAAATGTTTCATAAATTTTAACTAATTTTAAATATGTCAAATCCTTGTAATTATCCCAACCTAAAGGATATGTTTTTAAACCAAACCAATTCAACTCAGAGGTTGAACGCATCAGCACATCAAATTTCTGACATTTTCTTCACCATGAAAATTCCTTGTACTTCTTTTGTTACTTAAAAATTAAGAAATAAAATTTAATATTTTCTTAGTCTTAATTATAAAAATATAAAATAAATTCAAGATGTATTAATTGTTAAGTTTTTTTTATATTTTTTTTATAAATATCATTAAATATACTAGTTACCAACTGCATCATTTAATATTATGAATATTTTAAAAATAAATTTATATATTAAAAATACAATTAATTTAATTATTTTCTTTAATTCTAATAATTTAATCTTTTATTTTTTTTAAAAGATTGATAGAAGTATATGGTAACTATAATATCCCGAGTTTTGTAATTTATTTGTTTATTAATATAAATATATGGATTGTTATTGAATGTACATTTGACTTGTGTGGCAACGTGAATATAGATGTGTATATATTTGTATATTATGGTTGAAATGTGAGTGTGAACTTGTGATTTGCTTAAATTGATTGAGAAATAGGTTAAGGATGTGCTGCAAGAGCATTCTCGTTGTAGCAAGAAAGTTCTGGGTGAATGATATGATCTTGTTGCATTCTCGCTGTAGCGAAAAGGCAACAGAGGGGAGTGCATTTCTGAATATAGTCTCGATGTAGCGATATTCTGCAGAAATCAGAATACAAATTGGTCTGAGATTTTCGCTGCAACAAGAAAGGGTCTCGCTGTAGCTAGAGATGCCTCGCTGTAGCTAGAGATGCCTTACTATAGTGAAAGTGTCATGACTCTTAGGGTATTTGAGGGGTTTAGGATTCGTAAAACTCATTTTTCACTCTTTCTCTTCATCCTTCTTTCGATTCTCTCAATTTCCAACTCTATTTCACCGATTAAACTATCTCCAAAGCCGTTTGAGTGCAAGATTAAAGGTTTTGGTTGTGTTTGGGATGCTTTGAGGTAAGTTGTATGAACTAGGGTTTCGATTTTCATCCCTTTCTTTCATTTTCTCAGTTTCTCATGGAGTTTTCCATGTGTTTAGGACAAAAATCTGTGTGGAGAGCAATTTCATTGTTGATTTGTGTTGTGGGTCTTCAATTCAAGGTAAGGGGAACTCTACCCTATCCTTTTGTGTTTAGATTTTGTTTGTGTTGCTAGATAGTGGAATGTGATTGGGATAGGATGTAGAAAGATGTGTATTTAGATGAAAATAACTTGATTGTAATAGGGTGTGATGGATAATGGATGATGTCTGTGATAAAGTGATTTGATTGTGGTGGAGTTTGATGAAAATTGGATGTCTGAGTGTTATGTGATCGAATGTGGACATACGTGTCATATGTGAAAGTGAATATTATATGTGATTGACAATGTGGTTCAAATTGTGTGGACATGCCAGTGGTTGATAATGAATAATGTGAAATGATTGAAAATACATGTGAATAGCATGATGGTTGTGTGAATATGTTGAGAAATTATGAATGGTTCAGCGATACGCCGGGAGTGCGGAAGATGAGGGCAGTAGAAATACCTTGGGGGAGAGAAGGTGGTGGTGACACTAACAGTGAGCGTGGATGCACCATAGGCCACACACTCTCCTCCTGACTCAGCCTTTGACTAACCCTTTTGCTAGGGGGCTTAGTACCGCACAAGTTGTATCCATGGAACGGGGGCTATCCGGCGACCAACCATGGTATGAAACTGAGTAAGTCCTTGAGGTTGAGGGCATTAGGAAACTATAATCACAGCACAATAGTGAGCGCACGTGTATGTGTGAAGTAACTGAAGGTGCAGTGAGCACACCTGTGTATAAATTGATGTAATAAATTGACTTATGGTTGTTCAATGAATGAATTAAATTATATCCTGAATTATGTTAGAAACATGCAGAATGTGTAAGGTGTGTCTTTATGCTTGTGCGTGTTAATAATGTATAGTACTCACCTTTACATTTATTTTCAGGTGATCAAGACGATCTGCACCAGATTCAGTGAAGGAATGAATAAAATTGCTATAGGACTTAAGAAATTATTCTTTTAAAATTATGATGTATTAATTAAGTCCTGTAGCAATGATTTGATTCAACTTTGTAATCCTTCCTTATTTTGAAATACTTTATTGAAATTATGCATTAGAAACTATTTGAATGACATTTTTATTATTCCTATTTTATTGTGAAATAATTTATTTAGAAATTAAATTAAGGTGTTACAGTGACATTTGTACTAATATTAAAAGCTTTATTTCATTCATTAATTAATGATACATTTAATTATATAAAATTTTATACATAATTTATGAAAAATAGTTAATATTGTCATAAGTTATTCTTTTACCTTGTTTTAATAATATTTTTTATACAACTTATTAAAATTAATCATTTTAACTTACCCTAATAAATTTTATTATTAAATTTATGACATAAGTTAATGTTTTAAAAAATATACATATTGCATAAGCGTTTAAGTAAATTGTGTATCTAATTACACTCTTTAAATATCTATTTTATTTACATTGTCTAAAATAATCAATTTTTAATAATAGAATTATAAAAAAGACATATAAGAGTATATTTTAATTAATTAATTTTTAAAGATAGAATCTATTAATTTTTAATCATAATGTCCAAATTTTTTTTATCATAAAGTTCCGAGTCATTTATTAAGATTATATACTAAATTGCCATACATATTTCGATAAGGACAATAATAACATTTTTCTATCAATCAGAATATAATTTTAAAAAATAATCACAGCTAAACATACTCTGAATTCTTTGCTTATTCGCCGTGAATCATTCTTTATTAGATTGATTATTTTATAAAAGTCTGTATATTATTATTTTTTTCTTCTTCTTAACTAAAATACTCATATCCTCATAACAAACAAAAGATAAAATATAATCTTACCTCTGCTCATAACTTGAAGTAATTTTAAGTATTCAATGGCTCACCAAAAATATTTGGCAAAAAAAAGAAAAAGAAAAGAAAAATAGTGCCTATAATTGCATGAAATTCTCCGCGGATAATAGTTTTTGATACAGTCTTTACGAGCATTGTAAGCATCGGAAATGATATTTTCAAGCAGATTTTTACACTTCTACGACGGATTTGTTAACAAATATATGCAGTGTCAAACACTTATTTTATTTTTATCTGATTTCTTCTAATAAGAATTAAAAACATAATTACGATGAATATTATTTTAAAATGGTACAATAAAACTTTAACAAGAAATTATCCTTCCTTAAGACATGTGATGCCATTTAACTCTTCTAGACTGTAAATGTAATGGGCTGTACAAACCTTAAAATGTTTATCCATCGTTGATATAAGAAGAACCATATTTAAGAGGTAAAATAAATTGAAAGAAATTATCAATTGATAAATGATGAGGCAATATTGGCTAACACCAGTAAATATCAAGGCATTTTTATTTAAATATTGTTAATTAAAAAATAATTTATCAAATTATGGTATATCTAAAACAATTTATCTGTCTGGGGTGAATTTTCCACGTATAAATAATTTTTGCCATAGCGACTGGCGAAATATAAATTTATTTAAAATATTTATTAATTTATTTCACCATATAAAACACTAAATAAATAGGATAAAACCAGGTATCAGAAAATGAATAGTTTCGCCAGTTAAAAGCGAAATTAACTTTAAGTTTCGCCACCACCAGAGTGAAACCAATAAGAGAGAGATATGTGGCGGTCACGGTGCATTGTTTCACCAAAGGAAGTGCGAAAGTCATAAAATAAATTAAAAAAATATTTAAAATGACTTGGCAGCATTTTGGACACGTGGCTATATCGTAGCCGTTTTGCGGCTGTCATGGTGAAATTTTGTTTTGCCTAACCTATGGCAAAACCATTCAGTGATGGACACATGTTCGGCGGTACGGAAACCGTCTCCGTCCTTCTTCCCCTTCTCCTCCATTGCGTTTCTCATTTCTTTTTCTTTGTCACCGGCATCCTCAAACTTTTGTATTTTCTCATTGCGTTTCTCATTTGCTTTTTGTATTTTTTGTGCTAAAACGTCTCAAATTTTACACGTTTATTAGAGGTAATAATCATTATTTCTATTTTATATTATAATTTTTGTTTATGTTTTATAATTTTTAAATATATGATAAAAAAATTTTAAAAATAAATTATATGTAAATAATAAAAGTTTTTTATTAAAATAACGTAACATTATTTATATAAATTTTAGTAAGTATAATATTATATGAAAAATAATTACAATAATTATAATACATATATAATAGTAATATGTATTATAATTTAGATGGAATTATAACATTAGTGATATTAAAATAATTTTTAATGTAAATGTAATATAAAGTATGTATTCTAAATTATCTTAGAAAACAATGAATTAGTATTATTGAAATGAAAAAATAGTATTAATATGTTTTTTCTTGTATAGATGGTATCATTTTCACGATAGAGTAGGGTTATTAATCCTGGCCCAGAAGATCCATCA